CAAGAGTTACTACTGACCTACTTTGGAATTACTGAGATAATTTATCAGGTAAAATAATTAAGGGAGTATAAAGCTGTTTCTAAAGTGAACTCAATATCAGAAATATTTGCTGAAATCATAAGTTGGTATTCTCAGTGCTATCAGATGGGGCTTTATTACTTTGCAACGAGTCAATTTTATTATATTTGACTTATTTATAAGCCATACTTCTTTATAAATTATATTTGGCAGGATGTATTTGAGAGTCTCTTTGATATGTAAACGTATTAGTTTTGACTCTTTTTAGTCTAGATATAAAGAAAAACAATCTTTTAAGCCCTTCTTTTTTTCTTTCCTTAACCTCTTGCCCATAATCAGGCACACACACCCCTTTACACAGGTGCTTCAATTATTTTTGAAGTCTGTCCTAAGTAAAGAATACCTCTAATATGAGAATAGATCTACTGGGGTGTGGGCTATTCATCTTGTTGGATTTTAACTCTTTTGGAGGCTTAATCCTTTCCTGCATTAGCTAAATACCCACAAATGAAACATCCTGTGTAGTGATGGTCTTTTTTTCTACTGAGAAAACCTGACAATTTTCTGATTTTACAGCCTTGATGTCCTCCATAAGAAAAAAAAATGCAAGAGAGAAACTTTGAAATGAAATCACAGAACATAAACTAGGGTTTTATATTAGATTATAAGCCATCTGTTTTCTCAAAATAAAAGCATTAAAATGTTATATCATTTCTATTGTGGTATATAAATGTATTTAATTGCTATTTTTCCTCTTCTTAGTCTATCCTCCTTCTCCCTCTTCCTTTTATTCACTTTTTCCTTCCCCATCTCCAGTATGACTTGCTTCTAACTCAAAAACTCATCTAGTGATGAAGACATGATCAGCTGACTGTGTACTGACTTTTAAATTCTAATAAAGATCTATCTTCCTCTTGGAAGTACTTGAGTATCCTTGAATAACTAGATTGAATCCTTGTGGTAAAATATAAAATATTAATTTCTTAGGTCAGGGTTAAAGAAAGATCAGAAATTCATTTTTCATCTGTGTTCCAATATTTTGAATATAATAACATTATTTCACATCAGTATTTATTCACATTTTATTATTTTATAATGCAGGATTGAGGTAATTTGTGTGCATAAAATAATAGTTTAGTAGATGTTAAGGAAAAACAATAAAACGCTGCATTGTATTCTTGGTGGCTACACAGCATATGTGGTGTTTTATGTTTGAGGAAGGACCTGACTCTGGTTTTCTCCAAAAAATCAATAGTGTATCAAATATCACCTGATTCAGTGACCATCCTGTCACCTGGTTCTACAGTGAGATCACTCCCCTACTGCTTCCTATCTTACTTTATAGCCTCATTCATTCCATGCCTATTTAATTTCGTTTATTGCTTGATTCTTGTGTCCTTCAGTTGTTTCCATCCACCCTTCATGGCCGTAACTAAATACGACATGTTAACATACACAGGCATTTATGCAAATGAAAATCAATGCACTTATCATTTCAGCACCACTCCTTATTGCTTACATCGAATATTTAAACGCATTCCATCTGAACGCTCCCAACTTTCCTTCTTGCCTTGGAAGTCTAACGATATTCTTGGCTCCCTGCCCCTCAGCCCTTTAATCCTCACAGCCGCCATCACTTAGCCCCCATCTGGAGGATCAGACTTGCTCCATGCTTCGGAACTAATCACGTGCCCAGCCTGGGGGCATACAAGATATCCTAGCCAAGAGCTAACTGATTCAGCGTCCAGTCAGCTCTGCTGCTGGTTCCATTCTGACTTTGTAGTTCAGTCCCCACATCTAGGCAGTGCTTCTTCTAACCCTGGTGACCCAGGCTTGGCTTGCTACACCAGTTCCAAAATCCAGCCAGTTTCCTGTTTCAGTTTTTGATTAGTTTTTCTGATGAATGGATACCCAACTCCTCTGTGACTGAGGTTCTGCCTCGTTCTTCTCTTTGTCACCTTGGTAACTTAACTTTGTCTGAACTCCCTGCCATGACTGGTCCCCATGGTGAACTGTTGAGTCTCTTGGATGCTACTAGCCTGTCCCGTATCTCCTTGTGTCACCTTCATACCATGGACCTGAACATTTGCAAGAATACTGGGAGGAACTTGGCCTGCTTGGACATTTTCCATTGCCAACTACAGCCATCAACCTGTCACCAGCTCTTATCCTACAAACCTTGAGATTCACTACAGAGAGATCTGGCTATCTCATTGTTCCAAATGTGGCAGGAAAGACATACAATTTTAATGGCATTTTGTGTTGAACTGTTATGCTAACTTCACTAGTCCTCTCCCTCATCTCTTCCTCTTGGTCTTGACACTTAAACACTAAAGCTTGATTATCTCTTTGTAAAGTAAAATAATAATAGAATCTGCCTCTTATGGTTATCTTAAAGATAATAGAGAAAAAGTGTATACAAATGAATGAAACGCGTAGTAAACAACCAATAATTTTTAGTAGCCATTGTAATCTCATGTCTTAAATCTTTGTACTTGGAAAGTGGGGCTATGTCACTTAAAGAGCGCTCATTAAATAGATAAGACTATAGGGGAATAAAAATTCTTTACAAATTAGGAACTCATAAAATTGCGAATGTGAAATAATTGACAAGATAGTTAAAAGCTTGAAAAATGATGTTGAATTACAGATGCAGTCACCAGCAAAGATTAGACACAAGATATTTTAAGAATACATTTCCTATTTGTGTGTATTAATCTTATGACTACACAGGAACACTGAAGCATTTAGAAAGAAGAGATTCTGTAAATCAGTCATTTATTTTACAGTAGTAGTTCTGTGATCATTGGGGAGTTGTAGAAAAATAAAATTTCAAGCTCCGCCTCTCTGAAATTCTTTTTCATTAAATCTGGAGTGGAAATAATTAACTGTTATGCTTAAAAACTTCCTAAAGTAATTCTGGTGATCTCCCAAGATGGAAACCATAAATTCATCAGTCATCAAGACACCCAGGATGCCTTTAAGAAAATGCATTTGTTTACCATAAAATGGTCAAAGTAGTTCGCAGACTTCCTGGTAGCTCCTAGCTGCCCACTGGCTAGAAGTATTTGAAAGGTATGAAAACTCTACTGCTGCCTGCTTTAGAAGTGGATGACTATTTCACTTGACTATTCAACGGCCGTGTTATCTTATAAGTACCCAGTTTGTTTACCCTAAGAATCCTAGTTTTCTCAGATGGAATCTTCACCTTAAAAAAATACTTTAAGTGCCCAGTTTCTCTACTGCCAAAATTATCCTGTCTTAATTTTTGTTTTCTTCACTTCCCTTAGATTAACTTCCTCCTCTACTCAAAAAATAATTAAAATGACTGTTAACTGTTTTAGGCAAATACAGTGTGTATATTGAAGAAAATAAAAGGCATCTGGGTGATTTCCTGAATGGTGTGAAATGTGTGCCAAAGTGGGGAGGAGAGAGAGGGAGAAGATGGAAAGAAGGAGGTGGAGGGGGAGAAAAAGAAGAAGAAGAGGATGAGAGAAGAAGCAAAGAGGAGGAGAAAGAAGAGGAGGAGGAAGGGGACAAAGAGAAGCAGGAGGAAGAAGAGAAGGATGAGAAGGAGAAGGAGAAAAGAAAGGAAGGAAGGAGGAAGGAAGGAAGGAAGGAAAGAAGGAAAAAAAGAAAGAAAGAAAGAAAGAAAGAAGGAAAGCAGAGCAGGAAGACAGGAAGGAGGAGAAGGAGAAAAAGAAGAAAGAGGACGAGAAGGTGGAGGAGGAGAAAGAAGACAGTAGAAAAAGAAGAGGAGGAGAAAGAACAGGAGGAGCAGGAGGGAAGGAGGAGGAAGAGGAGGAAGGAGGATACAAAGAAGAAAAGAAAAAGAAGAGCAGGAGAAGGAGGGGAGAGGAGAAAGGAGAAGGAGAAATAAGAGAACAAGAAGGACAAGAAGGAGGAGGAAGAGGAGGAGAAGAGGAGGAGGAGAGGATCAAGAAGAAGAAGAGGAAAAAGAAGAAGAGGAAGAAGAAGGAGAAGGAGGAGTGATCATCAAGAGCAGGAGGAGGAGGAGGAGAAACAGAGGAGGAGGAGGAGGAGAGGAGAAGAAGGCAAAAAGAAGGCAAAAAGAAGGCGGCAAAAATGTTGGCATCCATTCAAAAGACAAAATATTATTCATTATTTGTTCAACACTTGCTTATAGAAGGAGCTGAGTATTACCTGGGGAAGGGGAGAAGCTGATCCTAGAGGTGCAGCCCAGAGATTGCTGTTTGTTCACCCTTCTTACCTAATCGAGCCTGGGTGTGCACAGGCATACCCCAACTTGTGTCTCTGCAGTTCACCATCTTAGAAGTGAGACTAGCAACTGCTATGATCTGAATGCTGGTGTCCCTCCAAAATTCATATTCTGCAATTGTAACCCCCATGGTGATAGTATTAGAAGGTGGGATCTTGGAGAGGTGATTAGGTAATGAGTGGTGGAGAGGTCCAACCAGGAATGCTTCCTTGTTCTGCCTGCCATGTGAGGCTACGGTGACAAGAAGGTTGTTGCATGAGGAAGCAGTCCTTATCAGACACTAAATTGCTGAAGCCTTCATCTTGGAATTCTCAGCCTTCAGAAAGGTGAGAACAAATTTCTGTTGCTTCTCAGCTACTCGGTTTATGGTATTTTGTTATATCAGCTCAAACAGATTAAGACCATTCATTGTCTCCTGATGATGCTTCTTGACAGAGACAGTCTAGCAATAACATTTTTTTCCCCTCTGCATCTTAACACTGACAGTTTTTGGAGCCCTCAGAGTGATATCTTAGTGTTCCTTATCAAGTAATGCCATGGATGGCTGCCTGGCTGGCCCACGCTTAATCCGGTTTCAGGAATCCCTTGCAGTTATTATAGTCCTTGTTTTTTTATTTCTTTGGAAACTGGATGTGAAAATAAAAATGTGAACAATGTTTTCTTTTGGAGAATGGTTGATGGAATAAAAAAGAAAGTAGCCATTATCATTATTTTGCCTAAAAGAATACAAAGAGTAGATTACCAGACATCCTCAGCGTCTTCATCACATTCTGCACCAAACTGACAAATGTCACAGGTGGATGTCTCCTTTTGACTAGTTTCTCCAGAGCCTTCGTGGACTGTAGGGAAGAAAAGACAAAACAAACACAAGGAATTCAGGTATGTGTGCAGAACCTCACCAACTCTGACAATTTTACAGTAAAACTGCTCCTATCTCAATGAATCAATTTGCCATTAGAGCTTCATGAGAAGATCACGCAACTCTCTTCATCCTCCAATTAAGGACAACACTACCAATAATATGACACTCACTGGTACATAATGCTCATTTTTTTCTTTTTACATGCAAAAACAAAACAAGAAACACAAGGGCTTGCTGGATTATCAAAATGTCTTGCCTAATAAATAGACCGTATGAAAGAGTTATTTAATTGAAAGGGATTTAGACTGCTACCTTCATAGAGGAAAAATCTAGTGTCTGTCTTATAAAAAATACTTAGCTTTCAAATTCATAAATTAAATTACATAGTTTTTCATTCAAAGAAAATTTCTTGTATAATTTTAAAAAATTAGTTGGACAGCCCTGATTTATTAGATATATCCACTTTTTTCCTCAAACTTTTAAGAACTTGTAAGAAAAAATATGCTGACTATAAGTTTTTTTAAAAATAGCTTTTAGGGTTGTTTTTTACTACAATTTCTTGACTTTTACATAAATATGGTATAGAGCTAACCATAGAGATTTCCTCTGAGAGAGTTATGAACATATGTTCTATTAAAAAAATTAATAAGTAACTGATGATATTATTGATATAGGTCCTTTTTCTCCCCAAGTTACAGGTATAAAAATAGGCAATATATAACCTAATTATAAAATTAGCCTTTCAAAATCAGAATACAATAGTGTCAATGGTGAAACATTTCTAGTGTTTTGAGTATAAGGACTCAGCAGCATTTGGGATTATAAATTATTGTTCACTCAGTTAAAATGTAGAACTATTTTATTTAAAAATAAAAAAATAGTGACCAACTAACTACCACATAAATAATGTTATTCCATGAACAGATCATACACTTGGAAACAGATGTTTAAATCAAGAGAATCTTAAAAAAGTGCACTTGTGCCAAAGTTCACACATTTTCAGTAGAAAAAGAACAAAGAATTCAGTACAGCATTGGTTCCTGTCTTTAAGAATATTTTTAACAACAACAACAAAAAACATTAACATTCACCCTCAACCAGTCAAATCCAATCTTACTTATGTTTTTTAATATGGTATTTTCTCATTATTTTTTCTTTGTTTATTAACAAGAAAGTGTTAACTATGTACCAAAGCAAAGATCTTTATTTCTTGTTTTTCTTTAGCTTACTGCTGTGCAGACGAGTGATTTGATTTACCAAAAAAAGCATAAGACATCTTTAGGAGAGTTCTCTGTTTCATAGCTCTTCCAGGAAAGATGGATATATATATATATTTTTCTAAAACAACACATTTTTTTCTTATGCTTGATAATCTACGCTTACATTTTTTTAAAGTTATGAACTGAACAGGTCAATATTGCAAAAATATTGATGGCACTGTTTTCTATTTGGAGGTCTTAAAAAGGGGTTTTATCTCCCTGAGAGAAGGACTTTTAGACTCTGATAAAATAGACAGCACTTATCCACTCTGTTACTTTAATCCAAGCAAGACCATTAGAGTGGACCAGGGGAATAAGACAGAAGCCGGGTCTTCCCTCAGGGGAGACTGAGCAGCTGAGGTCGATCTCTTTATTACTTTCTTATTATTAATGCAACACAGAAGCTGCTAATGGGAGAAAGCCTTTTAGTGTTAGCAAGATTAGCAACTTCCAGACTCAAACTTCTCATCACTGAAGAAACATCCTAACACAGGGGGAAGGTTCATGATGAACAGTGATAGCCACTCTGGGTAGACCCATTTTCCTTAGCAGGTGAGATTCTTGGTTAGGGACCAACTGGACGTCATCCAGGGGTGAATTCTGCTATCTCCAGCAGGACTAATAATAATATTTCTACCCAAAGTCAAGTTACATTTCTAAAAAAGGGCAGTTATTGGTAGAATGGAGAGGTCTGGAAATTCTCCAAGAAGAAGTAAATTCAGAAAAAGCAGTGGTGATAACCCCATCAATAAATAATCATATACCTTTATATGAAGTCAGTCTCAATGAAAAACAAAAGGAAATCTTTCCAAATTACTGGAAGCCCAGATTTGCACCTTTGCAGTAAACAAATAAGCAAAAACAAAATCAGTGTACAACCTTCATTTAACCCTGTAGATTAATTAGTGGTCCTTAATTAGGGTTGAGTTGATGCCCTGGTGGTTTCATCTGAAGGTTTCTGAAGTTCCTTCACCACCTTCCCACTCTGGCCCCGAACTGGACTCCATGCTAGTACTATACATTGATGTATCTGCTGAATCCAGTTCGAACTTACTATCATGCCTCCTGTATTTCTTACAGTTTTCTTGACCTGTTATACTATTTCTGAAAACAGCAGAATATAATGCTCAAAAACAAAGTTAATCAGCATAACCCATTTTGTTAAATAAGTTAAAATGAACATTCAGTGATATACAGTCATCCCTTTGAATCTACTGGTTCCCCATCTGCAGAGTCAACCCATTGCAAATCAAATATTTAGAAGAAAAAAAAAACAATAAAGATAAAACAACAATGATAAAAAATAAATGAAAATTACAGTATAATAACTTTTCACATAGCACCTGCATTGTATTAGTTATTATATGTAATCTAGAAGTGATTTAAAGCATACGTAAGGATGTATGTAGGTTATACGCAAATACTATGCCATTTTAATTCAAGGACTTGAGCATCCATTCACAGATTTTGGTATTCAAAGGAGTCTTGGACCCAATTTTTCTCAGATACTGAGGGACAAGTTTACTCAGAACTGATGGGTAACCTGAATCAATTTTGAGGAGTGCAAATCAAGACACACAGAACGACTCAGTCATCTCAAAAAGTTCTCTAGATAGGCAAAAGAGTGATCTGATCGTTATTACCATGGAATAATTTCAACTATTCTAGAACATCACATCAATGGACTCATACAATAACACAATAACTCGTAGGCTTTTTTTGTGTTGTTTCCTTCACTCAAAATGATAGTTTTTGAAATCAAGTAGTTACATGCATTAGTAGTTTATATCTTTTTATTGTTTGGTATTCCATTGAATGAACTACCACAATTTACTTCTCTTATGGAAGGATACCTGCATTGTTTCCAGTTTCTGACTGGAAATTATAATTATGTATTTATGAATAAAGTCGATAGAAATATTCTTGTAAAAGAGTTTTTGTGCACATATGTTTTTGTTTCTCTTGAAAAAACTACCTAGCAGTAGAATTATTAAGTCTTAAGGTAAAGCTTATTATTGCTGGTGGTATAAGTAATAAAATTTGTTGTTTTATTCTCCACTCGCATAAATTTTTAGTATCTTTTGGATATAAATCTATCATCAGATACATGTGTTGCAATATTTTTTTGACAGTGATAGCCTTGTATTCCTGAAAAAAGTCAAACTTCATCATTGTATACACACTTTTAAAATATACTACTGGATTCCATTTGCTAATATTTTATCAAGCATCTTTGTATCTATGTTCATGAGATATACTGGTTATAATTTTCTTTCTTATATTTTTCATGCTTACTTCTAGTATGAGAGTTAAAATGGCTTCATGATATAAGCACTTCTGCCCATCGCTATGGAAGAATTTGTATAGCATTCATAACCTTTTTTTCTTCATATGTTTGTTCTAATTAACCAGAGAAACTATCTGGTCCTGGAATGTTTCTTTTTTAAGTTGTTCAATTACAAATTTGATTTCTTTATACAAGACAATTTCATTTTTCTATTTTATTGATTTATTTTATTATTGTGATTATTTCCTAGTACTACATACTTAGGATTTTGTTTATTATTTTTCTAGTTTACTAAAATAGAAGCAAAAGTGTTTGACTTTATACTTTTCTTATTTTCTCATATAGATACCAAAATCTAAAAATTGCCTTCTAAAGATTGCTTTAGCTGAATTCCACAAATATTTATATGTTGTGCTTTCATGTATTCTTATTCAATATATATTATAACCTTTGAGATTACTTCTCTTACTCATAAATTACTTAGCAGTGTGTTTTTATAACATCTGGAGGTTTCAAAAAATATATTATTTAATTCATCTTTAATTTATTAAATTTACTGATTTAATTTATCATGGTTAGAGATCATACTGCTTACTTTATAAACCTTTGAAATGCATTGAAACTTGCTTTGTGGTCCAAGATACTCTCTATCTTCTTGAATATTCCCATGTGTACCTTAGAAGCTGTAGCTTGCTCTTGTGTGGAATAATTTTCTATCAATGTTAATTAGTTTAAGTTGATGGTTAGTGTTGTTCAAATCATCCATAACTGTACTTATTTTTGTTTTATCTATTACTGAGAAAAGAGTACTAAAAACTATATTAGTGACAGTAAATTTTCTTACAGTTCTCTTTTGTTTTGCCATTTTTTTTTTTGTCGTGTATTTGGAAGCTTTGAGCTTTGATATTGGGTACATAAATGTTTAGCAGTTTTATATCTTCTTGATTAAGTGATCCTCTTATCACTATGAAATGTCCCTTCAGACTCTCTGGTAACACTATTCATCTTGAAGTCTACTTTATTCTGATTTACATATTGCCTCACCAATTTTCTTTTGCTTATAGTTTCTATCCTTTTACTTTCAACTTATTTGTTTTCTTATATTTAAAGTGTGTGTCTCATAAACAACATATGGGTGGGTCTTGCTTTTAAAAATATAGTCTGGATATATCTGCATTTATTCAGGATGTTTATAGTCCATTTACTTAGTTATTGATATGTTTGGTTTTAAGTCCACCAACTTGGCGTTTAATTCATTTTGAACAATTTTGTGTGTGCCTCTGTTTTTCTGTCTGTCTTTTGTGTGTGTCAAATATTCTATGATATTCATTTTACTTTATATCTAACAATTTTGGACAGGGAAGATTATATTTCTTTGCTGTTTTTTTGGTTGCTTTAAGAATTACAATATGCATCTTTACATTATTCTAC